TTCGAGGTCATGAAAAAGTTTAAAGTACCATGGAGTGTTATCTGCTGCACCGACTTTTATGATATACTTGCTCCATATACTTATTAAAGCTATTAACTACAGATTTATTCATGTCAGGAAAAAGTAAAAAAAAAATTGACTCATACTTTTTGGTAGGGGAATCCAGGTCATTCTTACCAAAGACAAGTTTGCTTCAGAGCAAGAGGTGTTGCAATAATTCTTGCATTTGAAGGAGAAGCACCCAAAACAAAAAGAAAGTAGAATTATCCATTGTCCATTGACAAAAAACTTTTAAATCAGCTGCCATAATGAAAAACATATTTGCTGCACTCTTAAAGTTAATTGCACCTTGATTGAAGGGTGGATTTCAGATTTTACAATTACAAACAATTAGGTAGGTACCAGACTATATGTGTTTTTCTTTTATTTATATATTATTACTTATTAGAGGAAAATATTAATATAACTAATGTGTGCTGTTAAATAATTGAATAAACAGAAATAGATGTGTTGCAAAATATACCAAACCTAGAGAAGCTGATCCGAACCTGGAAACTGTTAAAAAAAAACAAAAAACAAGGCAAACTTTATCAGAGAATGAAAAAAGGTGGAATTTTTTAACTCAGATGAAAAGGATCTTTTGGATTGCACTTGAGCTCGATACTCTGGTTGCAATCATTAAGTTGATAGGAAACAAAATGATCAAGAAAAGACTGAAGATATTGCATTTTTATTGGACCAATTAGGAGATAGAAAAAATAGAATAGGTGGAATCGATACAAGGTACCTTTACTCTGTAAACAGGAGTTTATCCAAAATTAAAAGGAAATCAAATTTGCATGAAACCATGTCAGAGAGTGAATTCAACTCAAATGGATCGGAGAAAGATGAAGATAACAATGGTTTTCCATACCCAGATCCAGAGTTAAAGAAAAAATAAAATAATCTAATACTGTTATGCTTCCAAAAGATATTCTCAATAGAACTGCTGATACTGCTAATGGGGAAGGAACAAGTCATAGGCAGCATGCTTCCATGTTTAATAGTATAATTGCTAAATCGGGTGGAAATATAGCTGAATTTAAATATTCTACCTCTACAGCATTACGCGCTGCAGATTACATTCATGATGAATCAAAGAGGATCAATGATGATTTGAGAAGTTATAGAAAAATCAATAAGAACATTTTAGTTCAACTCCATTTTGATGGAAAAGTATGTCATGAATATACTGATGGGAAAAAATTAGAACAAGATCGATTAGCAATATTAATAAACGGTAACAAGAAACGTACATGTTGGAAATTCCACCAATTTCTTCTGAAACAGGCAAAAATCAAAAAAATGCAATCAGAGATATCTTAAATAGCTTTAACTTTACAGACAATATACAAGCTGATACATTTAATACCAACAGAATCAACACTGGAAACAAAAATGGAGCTGTATCTTTACTGGTAAATGAAGTCTTTTAATGACCAGTCCTATATATTATCAAAGTAGCATTACTTTTGGACCAGATAATCTGCTGTTTAAAACTTTAAATTCAGCATGGAATTATCTTGACGGGTAGGTTTGACAAAATTAGATAACATTTTGTGAAATATTATTTTTTCCAAATATTTTTCTTTTTACAATTTTGAATTCTTTGAATTTTATTTTTTACATTTTGAATAAATAACGTTTTGAGAAGATTGACTATTCCAGAGGTAACATGGCTTGATCATCAAAAGCATGAAAGCATAACGTTCTGCAGAAATATTATCACCAGTGGGTCTCTAAAAAGGTACCCCAATAACTAGATATCTAAATTTGTAGTTATTTATGTAGTATGCACTATAATGTTGTAGTTTATTATACATTTTTAAAATATAAATAGGTTTTTTATTTTATACCTAAATAATTATGATTTGATTTCATTTTTAAGGATGGAGCTACAAGGAAGGACTACATTGAGCTGGCAGAGCTTACACTTATGGTGCTTTCTGAGAACAGGTACAAATTTCCTACTCTTGGAGCAGTCTACCATGCCCGCTTTATGACAAAAGGTAAGGAATTGTAGGTTCAGGATAAGAAAAAGTTCAAAGTGTAGTAATATATATATATATATATATATATATATATATATATATATATATATATATATAAAAGTAAGGATTCCTAAGATTTTAAGATATTATTGTTAAATTTTAGGAAACCTTTTATTGAACGTAAATTTGAGTTTGTTAAATTCAGATGAAAAAATCCTTATCTGTACATAATAGACAATGGAAACGAGGGAATTGTTACGTGTGACGAAAAGATTATATTGTTTTATATAAAGGATTTTTTTTTTTTTGAAGTTTAAGGGTGGCACATGGTCCAAAAGTACTTTTTTATTTACCTTTTTTGACGTTTTTCGACCCGCGTGTGCCGCCCATTAAATTCAATTTACTTTTTTTTTTACATATTCTTGCAAGGACCCATACAAAATAATAAAAAGGCATTCTAACTCATTTTATTTTTTGAAAACTTAAAAAATGTCGTTTAAAAATACCTAAAAATAATTTTTTTTTAAATCTAATGAACTTTTTCATTATTTCTATAAACGCAACTATTTCAATGGCAGCGCACAGTGACTCAGGGCAATCAAAAAACGGAAAAAATTAAATAAAAATTGACATAAAACGTAAATAAAAAATGTTATATATTAAAATAATAATTTTAAAGTCAAAGATTTCAAATTTGTTATTAATTTTTTTTAACGCGCAGCTTCGACGCGTAAAATGCGCTTACGCGTATTAAAGGTGACTATACGCGTACAAAATTTTTTTTTTTAGTTTTTAGAGTCTTCAAGACAAACAAATAATTTTGGTATATTACTCTGCTTGATATTTTTATAAAAATGGTTTTTAAAGGATGTTGATACATAGAGAAAAAATACTGTATTTTTTTACATTAAATTTATTATTTACATTACAGTTAATTTAAAAACTTCATCTGGTAACGATTTTCCTCGATAGCTTTTATGTTTTCTAAAAGATATGCTTGATATTTTTGGATCTGATCTTACTAGAAGGTAGTGCATCTGATTCATCATTGTGTTTAACCTTGATATTTTTGCCGTGTGCTTAAGTCTAGAATTTCTTATCTGTTTATTTCAACTCTCTAGTGCATTTTCCGAATATACCCTGATTAGCAAAGATAATTTATTTGAAGAACTATGCAATAGCAGTTTATGTACAGTAGGAGGCATAACATACCAGTTGTATAAACTCACTATACGTTTAGCTGTTTCAGTGCAGTATAAATCTAATTCATTGATATTAATAGGATATCCACAAGATATGGTTATGAGAATATTATGCAATCTTTTAGTTATATCACAATCAACTTAAGTAATTTCAGAAAAAACTTCACTATTTTTAAATGCTCTTCTGGCAGTGTTGCCATCATTCGTGTTTCCAGACCCAGTTTTAGGCATATCAACGTATAGGCTTAACCATTCTCTGAAGAGTACCTGAATCTCTTTTTTTTTTAAGTCTACAGATAGTTTTTCCTCAATTGTTTTTGGCTTATACTTTTTAATTTCAATTTTATAAATCAAATGAAGAATGAACTCCAAGCATTTTATCCAGCAAATCAAAGCTGAAATTACGAGCCCCAAGGCCGAGTCATTCTCAGTTTTTGCTTTAAATAAATCAATATTGTTCATTTCTTTGGGTTTAGCATTGCACACATTGCAGGATTGAGTGGATTTTGTCTCGGTAAGTGCGCTAACTACTTTATTATCAAACATTGTAAGATCAATCCTATTGCTGATATTAAATGTCAAAATTCTTCCTGCAATATTAAAAACATTGCAAAACGCCTTTAAGGTATTTATTTGATTTTATAGATCTGATTCTTCTTCTCTGGATAAAATTGGACTCTCTTTTTTATATTGTAGATGAAGAGGTCTACAAAAGTGACAGCTTGAAGGATTTTCATTTTTCCAAATTTCGCCATCTTCTACTTTGAGCAATAAAAGCACAAAAGCTGTACTGAAAAGATTTTCTTTATGTTCTATACTTGCGTTGCTTGTATCGTATTTCTTTTTATAAATACTTTGGCTTGATGCTCCATCAAAACCAATCTTTCTATATAAAACTCCAAATATTTCATCACTTTGACCAAAATTAGGCATATCAATCATTTCTGTTATTCTACTCACAGTGTGATCTTACATGCTTTGAAGAGTACACTTTGCAGAAAAATATATATTCTCAGGATAGCATTTCAATTTTTCCACGAAAATATTGTGCAAGGTATGATAAATATGTACGTTGTGTACAAGAGCTGAGTTTCTGATCATTTGATATTGTTTATCGCTGAGATCAGTATTCATTTTTAATGCAAGAGCATCCTTTACACTCATGTTAATGGGAAAGGTTTTATCCAAAGTTTTATCAACTTTTTCTATCTCTAAAATATTAGATATATTGTTTTTTAAAAAAGAGGCTTTTTTTTTTCTCCAGCAGCATTTGCACTTTTTGCAGAAGCTAAAAATAGAGCTTCATAATGTTCAGTGGCTAGTTCTTTTATTTTTTTTCTTTTGCTTCTCTCTCTAAGAACACTCCATTCCCAGACAGCAAGCTTACATTGGACCAACGTTGGGCCAATGCATGATGATGCATTGGCCCAACGTTGAAAGTCGATGTTGGCCCAATGCAGGTTTGATCATTGGTTAGGTAATGGCCCAACGTTGTGTAAAACATTGGCCTAATGTTGTATACAACGTTAACCCAACATTGGCCCAACATTGTATATAAAGTTAGGCCAATGTTGTATACGACATTGGCCCAACGTTGTATACAACATTGGCCCAACGTTGCATACAAAATTGGCCTAAAGTTGTATACAACATTGGCCCAATATCGTATGTTATATATCAGCCTAACGTTTTATGTAACATTAGATCGTTGTTACAAATAAGATGATTTGAAAAATTTTGAAAAGTTATAGAGAAAAAAAAGAATGTATGATACAAGTATAAAAATTTATTTATTTAACATAATTGTTCGGTTATATATACATATTGCAAACACTAAACTTAAACCCAAAACTGACATTTTGAGTTTTAAATAAAAAAATTCACTATAAAATTTATAAAGTAGTTTCGATATTGGCTGAGCTACTTGTTATTGAATCGTGTTTAGCTTATGATATTTGGTGCCCACGATTATCATTTTTTCTTCCGCTATCTCTATCACATGTCTGCAAAAGCTATGCTTATTTGACTTCACAGTTTCTGCATAAAAAATAGTTGTTTGTTTAATTATGGACCAAAGAAATATAACAAATTAAAAGTAATTCTGTAATGCAAAAATGAACCTGAAAAATATATACAATCTTCTTCTCTTTAACTCCAATTTGTGCCAAATAATTGACCTGCAAAAATACACAACCTGGCAATAATTAAAGTAACTTTTGTTTAGACTAAAATTAATATAAAATGTCATTTACAAAAAATCTTTAAAGAGTATTTTGTTTAAAGTATTTTAAATTGTACTAAGATATCATAAAAAATGAATAAACTGATCATAAAAAAATATTTACCATTTACTTAAGTATTTTGTTGTCTTTTTTTTCCAAAGTACTTGAATTCTTCACTTCTTTTAACGGCAATGACACTCGTTCAGGCAATACAATAATTAGCATACATTTGTTACTCAAATTTTTATAACTGAATTTGATGTGTTTTGTAGTTCACCAAGTTGCACTTCAATGCTTGCCCATTATGCCAATAAAACCAGCATATCTTTCAAGGATACAACTTTATCTTGAAACAATAAAGTTATTTATATCATTATCAAACTATACAACTAATTACATATTATATTTAGAATTTATGAAAGTAAATACAACAATCACTAATAAAACAGATAAAATTAAAGACAGAGGGTCAAATTTTTAATGATAAAAATATATACTTGCTAATGGATTCATAATATTTTTATGAATTATGAAATTTGCAGGTGTGCATTTAATTTCTGGCACTGACACAAAACAATTTTCGTTAATGTTTAAGATACAAATTGCACTGTAAAACAAAAAAATTCATATTAAAACAATGTTTCTCCAACAGGGTTCGAACCTAACAATTTATATAAAAATCAATGACATTTTTGAAAAATCAGATGAATTTCCCTGACCATTTTTAACAATGGTTTTTACAAAATGTTTAAAATTACTATCTACTGTAATGAAAATGCTAAGATTGTACATGCTTTTAATGACAAAACTTTTAAAACTTAGCTATTAGTTAAATTGGATATTGGTATGGAGCTTATTATACATGTTAAAATGGATCTTATTATTAAGGATGACTAAGAACCAACACTAAGAAAAACATAAGTTTCAGAAAAATTAAATGGGTTGCACCAAAAAAAACATAATAGCTTAATAGAGTGCTGTATTTTGAAAATGTGACAAGTCACAAAATTAAAATTTTACAAGAGAATGAAAAACAATTCTCCTGTAAAAAACTTTATTTTTATTTTATCTAAAAATTATTTTTTTATCCAAAAAAAATTTTTATTTTATCTTATAATTTTATCTTTTCCTAAAAAAAATATTTTTTTCAAATAACCTCACTTTCATAAAAAGTGTGGTTATTTGAAATATAAAGTTGTCCAATGTTTTTAAATATTTTTTTTTTACATATTTTAATTCTGAATTTTAATAATACAGTTTTTAAAAATAATATCATCTATAAAAATATTGTATTACCTTTGTCTATTATATAAATTTAAATAAATGTTTATATAACGAATAATAATGAAGCACCAGCAACTGTTAAAACTTTAAACTAATATGAATACTCTGTTGTTTTTTTCAACAGTTGAATTCAAATAGATTTCAAAGTTGGTGACACCAACTTTGAAATCCAACAAAAAATTTTTGTTACGTTAAATCGACTAGAAAACCTGGCCAGTTTTTCTGTGGTCAGTATTAGAGAACGTTCTCGCTTTCCGACCAAGCTTTGATATGTTGATTATTACACAATAAAATGTTAATTAACACTATGACTTTTTGACTGTAATATATGAAAAAGTTTTTAAAATTGTAAAAGCTAAAGCTATGAATAAAGATTTTCAATTTATCAGACATAAAGACTTTTATATAAAAACTAACCATTTAATAAATTTTGTTCATTCAACTTCTCAGAGCAAACATTGAACTTCTGTAAAGAGTTTGGAGTTACAGGTAAATCCCAAAGTTTAATAACATTTTTTGTTTTATTATAAGAAAACGAGGATAAATCATCTACACCAAGATATACACAATTTTTTGTCTCTTTAATCTTTATTTTGACTGGTCATTTTCGCTGTCTTCCTTTTTTGTCTCCAGAGCAGAAATTTAGCCTTCTGCTAAATTCAATCATGTATTGCTATAAAAATCTATAAATCAAATCATTAATAATTAAGTTATAACTAAAGTTAATGTATAAGCTTAAATTTGTTAATTGTTGTACGCAAACTAAATATGAAAAATATCCAGAATTGTTAAATTAAAAAATAATTAAACCTCAGAAACATGGAATATTAGAAAGCTCTACATAAGTAGACTATAAGTAGACTATCACTTTTTTACACTGTTTTAATATGTTAGTAGATGGGGTTTCATAATCAAACACAAAAAAAAATCAAACAAAAGAGACATATTTAAAATGTAAAATACCAGCTTCTAACAACTTCAATGGCATTGAAGTTGACATTGGCATTGACAATGGCATTGACAATGCCATATATATTATTGATACCTTTAATAATATATCTTATAATAGCTATATAATCTAAACTATTATAAATAAATTATGAAAAAAAAAACTTATACTGTATGACATTTCAAATGTTTGATTTATTTAATAAAGAAGACATTTAAAATGTCTTCTTTATTAAATAAATTGAACATTTGAAATGTTTTATTTATTTAATAAAGATTATCAAATAAATCAAACATTTGAAATGCCAATAGAGTAATAAAAATAAAATAATAAATTTAAGATCTTACACAAAAATAATTTAATTATTGCCTTTATTATTACATTAATAATTTAGGTTGTAGTAAAAAATGTTTTTTTTATTATATTTAATATTATTTAAATGTTAAAAATATTTTATTATTTAAAAAAACAAAACATCAATCAATCAATCAATCAATTCAATATATTCTGAAATAAGTTGTTAAAATTTCAAGGACTTTTATAAATAGTACAAGTACTAATCTAAAGTAAAAACCTGCAACATTACAATAAAAGTGATCATAATAACAATAATAATAGTATTGATAATAATTATAGAAATAATATTAACAATAATAATAAGATGACGATGAAGAGGAATATTATTAGTAACAATACTAACAATAATAATAAAGATATAATACAATCAATATTAGACAATAGCAATAATAGTGATAAAAACAATTACATAGTATAAGCAGTAAATAAACTAAAGAAAAAATTAAAAAAAGCAATAATAATACTTATTATGTTATAAATAAAAATAACAATTTACTAATAAAGATAGAAGAATATTATTAATATCAATACTAATAATAACAATAAAAATATGAGAACAAAAAGTGTGAAGCCGTGAACCTTAGTCATATGCAGACAAATAGGAACAATGTTTTTATATATTTAAACATATGTGGCTATATTAAAATGTATATTAAAGATGGCTTACTTATAAGAATATATATATTTAAGTATAGTACAGTGTTTTATTAACGACACAACAAAAAGTTAATAATAAAACTAGTAGGTATCAAGAGAATAGTAATAATAAAAGCATAACAACATATTTCAGAGGCTTCAGGTATAATATCTTGCTAAAAAATAGTTAAAAAGACAGTTTTTGAAATTAGTAATTGAGTCAATTGATTTTAATGGCGAAGGTAGACTGTTCCATGATTTTACACTTTGGTATTTTATGGATTTTAGACCATATTTTACAGAAGAATGATTTGGTACATGAAGATTATAGCTATTAGCAGATCGTAGATGAGAGCGACAGCTTTCTCTAACAGTAAAAAAATTTGTAAATGTGCTGGGTAGACATTTTTGTTTATAATTAAAGACAAAATGGCAATTTAATAGTTGAACTAGATCATCAATTTTGAGTATTTTAAATAAAAAATAAAGATGATCGGAGTTAGATTGATAATGCTGAAAATATAATATTTTTAATGCTTTGTTTTGTAAGTTGGATAATCTTAAAATTCTTGGGTGCGGATTTGTCCCTAAACTTGACACGCATACCTAAGATGTGATCCAAAAATGGCATAGTATATATTGATAAGAGTTTCAAGATTGACATAATGACGAATTTTAGCTAACATCCCATTAGATCTACATAGTTTTATTGACAAGTCCTTAAGATGTTGAGAAAAAGTTAAATTTGAGTCAATTTTGATTCCAAGTTACTTTAGGTACATAACTGGATTGATTTTTTGACCACTCAGCCTAAAATATAGGTGTTTACTGATTTTAGATTGTTTTGATTTAAAGATGATAATTTCAGTTTTACTAGTATTCAGAGACAGTTTGTTAGATCAAAGCCATTGAATTAGATTAGATAGATCATGATTAATATATTAAAAGTAAGTTAGTGTCATCAGCGAAATAGTAGGAAGTTGTATATTTTAATGATAAATTAAGGTCGTTAATGAAAACAAGGAAAAGCAATGGTCATAATACAGAGCCTTGAGGTACACCTGTAGTGCATTTTACTAAATAAGATGTGTTACCGTTAATAGATACAAATTGAAACCGAATATAAAGATATGAGGTAAACCATTGTATTCCAGTTTACTTAGAAGAATAGAATGATCAACAGTGTCAAATGCTTTCTGTAGATCAACAAACACACCACAAGCAAATGACAATAAGTTATTGTCAAGAGCTTTTCTGATAACCTCAGTGATTTCAATAAATGCATGAGTTGTGGAATGCTTGCTTCGAAACCCATATTAGTGTTTGTAAAGACATTGATATTTATCTAAAAAGTTGTAAAGTCTGTTGTGCATAGCTTTTTCAAATATTTTACTGATGTTTGACAGTAGCGAAATCAATTCACGAGAATCTCATCAAGTCACGAGAATCTCTTGAAGTTTATTTTTTATAAGGAAGCTTTTAAGATTCTTAGAAGATAAATAAATAAGCTTCTTATTTTTATAATTTTTTTTTTTTTTAAATGAAAAAAAAATCTTTATTCTTTCAAACGATTCCATTTTTACAAATGTTTCGAAACAAATTTGAAAGTATATATTAATCCGCAACTACATTGGCCGAATATTGGCTACGATAAAAATGTAAGAACAGATTTTTATAGCAAAATATTAAGCCTAAACTACATTGGCCCAATGTGGTACGATAATTGCAAAAAACCGATTTGTAGAATTGCAATATTACGCCGAAAAAAAAACATTGGCTATATGCCACCCCAATATTGTACGATATTTGCAAAAAACTGATTTGCAAAATTGAAAATAATACGCCGAAAAAAAACATTGGCTAAATGTTGGCTTAACGGAATAAACTTGCCAATGTTAAAACTTACATTGGGCCAATGTAAGCTTGCTATCTGGGATATATATTTGTGGAACTCGGTGGAACATTTTCTTAGCTGATATATAAACAAAAAAAATACAATTATTTTCTACTTTTTTTTAGAGAAGTCTTTAAATTTGAACAAAAAAATCAGACTTTTTTTTTTTCTTTTTAGTATATTTGAAATATATAGAGTTAAAATATTATTTTAAAGATAAATATGCACTTTCATTTAAATTTCAAGTTCTCTAAATTAGTTAAATAAAAATAATATCAAATTTTTTGAATTCTTTTACCTAAAAAATACAAAATAAAAGCTTTACGAAAAAATTATTTTTACATCTGGAATAAAAAATAATTGTCTTTTAATTTTATCTAACAAAGGGCACTCAATTTATAAAAAAGTAGTGAGGGGTTTGTTGCCATTTGTTTGTTGTTTTGAGTCACTGTGCAGCAGTATGATCTCTTTGTTCAAATGTAATAATAATACTCAATGTTCAACACCTGCTATTTTAATAACATTAAACAAAATTTTTTAACGTTTTTTAAAATAAAACGAAATTTTATTTTAATTTATTTACATAAAATAAAAAGTAAAATAAAAAGTTATCTCAAAAATTCTTAAAAAAATGAAAAGTAGAGGCCAAGAAATATTCTTAGTTAAAAAATCTAGAAAGACTCTATCATCTATTCAATTTGCAACTGTAGAAGAAGTTATACAGTATTATTTTTACTTACATGAGTCCAAACCATCAACTTCTCTTAAAAGCACAGTTTGTTGTCCAAACAAAGGTTTTGCATTAATATCAAATTGTCCAGATTCGGGAGAAAAGTGATGCGTTATATCTAAGCTGAAGGTTTTATGGGAACTTGGTGGATACAGAACTCGTGACATTAATGCGTTTTACGGTTAGTAATATTTACAAACTCTTAACCTAAGGAGCAATAAAAAATAGAGAGAACTTTTTAATAGAACCTATTAGGGTATTCTGGTTAGGACATGACATAAAAATCATGATTGAAATAAAAATGAATAGAAAAAGAACTAAAGAAAGTAAATGTATAGACATTATGTTCTTAAAAATACAGAAAGAAAAAAGACAAGGTTGTCTAGACATTTCTGACACCTGCTTTAAAAAGTCTGCAAAAAAATCTGAAAAAAAAAAGTTAAAAGGGAATCATCAGAAAAAATAGGAGATTTAGATGCAACTTATAGCTCAGAAGGTGATATTAGTGATTTTTCTTCAAGCTCAGAATGCCTCGAGCCTGTTACAAGTGAGTCAAATGACAATTCTCATGAAGAATGGCAAAGTTTATTACTGCCTAAAGATATTTTAAAGCGTACAGCATTAACTGCTGTAGGAGAAGGTCTTTCTATCAACCAGCACACTGTTATCGTAAGCAGTGTTATAGCTATTTCAGAAAGAGAAATAAATAAATTTGTTTGTGTCCAAATCATCATCTCTTCGAGCTCTAGATAAAGTAATAAACTCGGAAGTTCAAAAAATTAGTCTGTATATAAAAAACTTGACTGACTCCAAGTATAAGCTGATTTCTGTTCACTTTGACGGGAAAATATTTAAAGAATATACAGATAAAGTTTTAGTTACAAGAGAAAGATTTGCAGTACTAGTGAAA